ACCAAAATGAATAAACGAATCGTAAGGAGTTTTTATTTCCCCCGTCCCCCGCTCTTCCCCATGCCCTCAGTCGAACTGTCGATTCTGAGCGCCAAAGAGGTGTTATGTATATCTGTTTTGAACTTGCACTGGTATTTCCTGATGATTCAGAAATTAAACACCTAATCAGCAGTCTATTCTCATAAATAGCTCTTCATAATAATTTAATATAATGATTGTTCGTATCACAGTTTCAACTTCCCTTCGTTCCTTCCCCCCTCACTTTATTTACTCCTTCACTTATATCTATTTCTTTTTTTAATCCGTCTTGCAAATCGGTTATATGACTATTCAAAACATGACGGGTAGGAGGCTGTACTAATGATTCTCACTCCTACTCGCACGCACAGCTCGGTCTGTGTATACAGCTAAGGGATGAAACACAGAGACTGCGCCATAAAATGTCTTCATACACATGACATTCAAATGAAATCCTTCTATTCTTCTATTTTCATAGCTGGCTATAGGCTACTGATAATTGGACTTGGAAAATAAAAAAAACGCTAAAAAATCAGGTTTTTTTTTGTTTTTTACAGAATGAATTGGATGATTGCGATCGTACTGTGATTATTGTATGTGCGGCAACACATAAAACAAAACTTATGTATTTTTTCTTGGTACAAACTGATCAGGGTGATATTTTCAAGGTCACACTCGAAAGCGAACACGATATTGTGAGTGTTTTCTTATTTTTTTTGGATTTTAAAGTTTTCTTATTGTTTTTTTGTGGGTTGGATAAATTTTTTTGGGGATATTTATGGTTACTGGAGATTTTTTAGCACATTTTTGATAATGTATATGGGGTTTCTTTTCTTTTGAATTGCTTTTTTTATAATTTTTAAATTTTTTTTTGAATTGCCCAAATTTTTGTTATTTTTGGTTCGAAATAATTTGTTCTTTTTTTTAAAAAATCAGTGAAGTTTTTATCTTTCCCGTGATAAATTTTTTTTTAATTTCTTGTTTTCTAGGTCACGGAGTTGAAAATCAAATATTTTGACACGATACCAGTGGCCAATGCTATGTGCATTTTGAAAACGGGATTTCTGTTCACTGCAAGTGAATTTGGCAATCAGTAAGTTTTCTCCCATAAACTACCCATTCAGATTATCAAAGATTTGTGTCAAATTTATTTTTGTTGTTGCAAAAACGAAAGGACTTGATTGATCGTTTTCTGGACATTATTTCGTTTGGCTGTGATAAAACTGACGGCCTTGGCGCAGGGCCAACTAATGCTGCTGTCTTACAAAAAAACCAAGGATGCGATTCCGCTGTTGAAACAAAGAGTCCCTCTACAATTTGTTTAATCTTTTTGATGGTAAGACAATTTTTGCAACCAGGTTGACCTTGGAAGCCTAAATGGCGAAGGCGCGATAGATTACAGCATGAAAAAACAGTATGAGAAAAAAGAAGGTAAGAGTGAGATAAGACGTTTCGGTCCATTAAGTCATACACATCTTAACACCGCCGCAAGACCTCGTCAATGTGACGATCGCAGCTGTTAGTGGAAAAGGAAAGAAAGAGAAAGACGAAAGATATGTTTGTGACGGCCTTGGCACAGGGCCAACTAATAGAGATTTCGATAAATTCAGCGAAAAAGTCACAGTCTGTGCGACGATTGCTGTTTCTGTTGTCACTCAGGCTACTTCCGAATTATAAGAGAATTGTTGTTCTTTTTTTTCAGCCATCTTTATCAGATCGCACATCTGGGTGACGAGGATGATGAGCCCGAATTTTCATCACGAATGCAACTTGATGAAGGCGAAACGTTCTTCTTCGCACCTCGTAAACTCACCAATCTCGCGGCTGTTGATGAACTGGACAGTCTGTCACCGCTCATCACTTCATATGTGAGTTTTGTA